TCAGACATTCGGGGATGTCAACTGTTAATTGTGTGAAACTTTTACATAAATTCTGAATAGAGTTGTCTTTAGCATTATTTTATTTGTTTGGCAAGATTGGCGCCTCTGTTTTTAACTGAAGTGTGTACAGGCAAGGTTTTTTGACTGATGTTCTCTTGGGGGAGGAAAACTAGCACAGCAGGAATAAGGATAATCCTTCCAATTTTCTATATCTTTCTACATTCTTTATTTGTACATTCTTGTTCAATATCTATGTTACCTCCTCATCATCATATATTTCTTCACTTTATATACTTTATTGCCGTTGGTGCTATTGTTTGTCTACAAGTCTCATTTTTATGTAAGATCGACTCATGTTTTGAAAAGATGTTCACTTACTCAATATAGTAAGGAGAGAAAAAAAAATAAGGACTTGCATCTTTGTATTGGATAGATGATGACGACCATAGATCAAGGATCAAAGAAAGGCTGGGGAGGAGAAACTAAACGAGAAGATTACCTAATGAAAACCAGAGAGCGGATCCCAAGGGCTGTAATTAATACTGCTGGATTTTAAGTTTAAACTACTATGGAATTGTTTACCATATTGAGGATTGTAGATTTAAGGGCAGTGATACTCATAGAGTTTGATTATGCTGTCATTTTTTGAAAAGTTTGAAAATCTGTGAGTTGAAAATTTTGAATGCATTCTGTTAAGTCTTGGAATTATAATGCTGACGATGGACACTTCGGCTTTGGGATTTTTTTAGCAAAAGAGATGAATATGGGAAGACTCAAGTGACATGACCAATAAATAGATGACGGAGCATGATATCTACTAGTTTTAAAGACTTAAACTATTACAAGTAGAGAAGAAATTCCAATGTGTCTCCAGTATTTGGTGTCCATTTCTTGATGTGGTTGGCAAGTGTAACTTTGTAGGTTTTTCAAGTAAGATACTAGAAAAAATTTGAGGAGAAGAGAGAATTGGCCAGAGAAGAATAATTCCAAGAGGGACGGTGCAGAAGTTTCTTCCAACCAGAGACTTTCTAAATTACTTTTTTATTATGCACAATGTTGTTTCCCTGCCTGATTAAGTACCTGTTGCTTTGCTGGTAGGCCCACTTAGGTTAGCTGCTATTGTAAGACAATTGTGATTAAATCAATGGAGAAGAAATAGCAAGAAAAGGACATCCTTGTGCTACCTTTTTAGTTTATGTTGGCTTCAAAGAGGAGTGGGTGTATTGACTATTTGAGTTATAGGAATTTACAACGTTCCTCTTTTACAATGATATTTCAAGGTGTTCAACATACGTCTTGCATATCTTTTTCTAAATGCCAAAGACAGAAAAGGATACCTTTCTTGGACTAAGATTTCCTTTGAAGCAAAGTATTTTTCAAAAAGACACACATGGGAAGACCATAAGTATTATGTGTAATGTATGCATTTGAAAGGAGTTAAACAAGTGTAAAGACAGTTTAACAAAGTGAAAATGATCAATTTTTAGTCCGACATGCACATGACTCTCTATAAGGTTGTTACATGCAACGGAGTCTTGCCACGTGTGAGACCTTAAAGGCAAGCTTGTTATGTAAACTGACTATGAATCACTACAACTTTATATATTGTATATAATTCATAGCTCAACATATGTTTTCAATTGTCGTTCCAACCTATTATCATATTGCAATATAACTCGATGCAACCTTTAACCCTAGGAAGCATAGACACTTAATAGTGGTCAGAGGATCATTGTCGAACACGTCTAGGACACGGATATGTTCAGAAACTTGTCAGACATGAAAAAATGAGTGTCCAATTATTTTATCATTATTATGTTCTCGGGACACGTTTTGTACATGTTGGGGACACGTGATTGACACACTCGAGATACGTGGGGAACATGTGACTGACACGCTGGGGGACATGTTTTGAAAACTTTTTTCAAATTTTTAGAAACTTATCAAGCAACTTTGTAAATAAAGGATGTTATGTTTGTAATTTGAAAGAGAGATGGGTCAAAGTTACAATAAAAAAGAGTTATAATCACAACCTGGACATAGGATGCCAAGATAAACATAATTTCGGACACGATTACGAAATTATATAAAAATGGAATACACTTTTTATATGAAAATAATTTGATAAAAAATGGAATTATGAAATTGTGGCTCCTTAGAATTAAATGAAAATAGGGTTACGAATTGGAATAGGTTTGAAAATTGTTATTGTAGTAGTCATTGATTGTTGTTGGATCATGGATTTTTATGATGAATGTTTATAGGTATTGTCTAACATTTTATTTTTTATTCGATGATTTCATGGTGTAAATTGTTACAATTATGAAAATGATGATTTAATGGTTGTTGTTAAGATATATTTATTTTATCATAGGATCAAATATATAGAAATATAAATGTGCGTGCTGGATCTTGCACAATATAAACACGGGAACAGATCTCTCCCTTGGTGAACTCGAGTGAGTCAGTCGAGTGGTCAACTCCACTGCTTGGAACAGCCTGTGAGGTCCGGTGGTAACCTGGAACGGTAATAGAAGACCCTTGNCGAGTGGTCAACTCCACTGCTTGGAACAGCCTGTGAGGTCCGGTGGTAACCTGGAATGGTAATAGGAGACCCTTGTGGATCAACGGAACGATCCAGTAAGGCTGAGGAAGGTTCCTAGAACAAAGAAAAACAAGTTAGAAGGGTGCCGGAGTGTTTTTCGGCGTATCCCCTCCGACGATCAAGTCAGTTTTTGAGAGAGAAGAAGAAGAAAACACTGAATATAATTTTGTAGCAAAGGTTTTTCGTTGCATATCGTCTTGCCTTTTGCGATGAGTATTTATACCTCAAAAACTCATGATTGCTGTCAGTGTAGTCAGTAGGTGATCATTAGGTACAGACAACGTGCGCACTGACTCCAATGAGGAATGTCTTTTCTTTTAACTGCTTGGGATCCCGAGTAACCAAGACTGTGTCATCGGCCTGCCGACTATTCAATGAGCTCTTCTCGGCGAGGATGTAATAAATGTCCGGCCTTAGAGACATTTATTACCTTTCACTTCCGAGCCTTACTGCATTAAATGCTGTCTCATCAAAGGAATGGTATAATTAAATGTTTGCTTTCCCAAATCGTGTGTCAGCAAGGGCATCCGGTCTTTCTGTCTCTGATGTGACACAATATGCCATGCATCCTTTCCCCATTAGCTGTGTCCCCTGCCTTCCTGTGCCTTTTGACGCCAATTGTGTAAGATGNTCAGCAAGGGCATCCGGTCTTTCTGTCTCTGATGTGACACAATATGCCATGCGTCCTTTCCCCATTAGCTGTGTCCCCTGCCTTCCTGTGCCTTTTGACGCCAATTGTGTAAGACGAGGTCATGACAGCTAACCTAGCCTAGCCTAGGCTAGTGGCCTGTACATCAATAGCCTCTGCCGGAGCAGAAAACGCCACCCTGGACGGAGGTACATCTCGGAGCCAAACGGGAGGTTCATCTCGGAGCCGAGGGGAGGTACATATAGCGACCGATGTACCCTTATCAGACCGAGGGATACGTGTCGGTACGTAAACGTACTGGATGCCACTTGATCCTTATGACAAGTACCTCGGGGGAGAGGAACTTGTGAACCGATGAGTACGTGATCTCAGTAACAAGGATTTAGTGACACTGAGGACACGTGTCTTCATCTTGTAGTATTTCGAAAATGTCCCATCAATAAATATGTAATATTAGTTGTCTCCCGGCTTGTCCATGCCTTACTTTTTTGAAAATTTCGTGTTGGCGTGTCCGTGTCCTTTGTTTTGTGTCCATGCTTATTAGCTTCAACCTATTGTTTGGGGCTGGATGCATGAACATTGGGCCATATTTGTTCCTTTGAATTGCTTATCAAAAAATATGTGCTACTGAATTGCAGTACATCTCTCTCAAACAAATAAAGAACAAAAATTATTATCTTGGTCTTTTTGTTCTTTGTATGGTTGTAGTACTTTCACTGTGCGATTATAGGTATGTGTTGCGTATGGGACAAACTTGTTTAGTTGAAATTCTTTAAACTTAGTAAGGATGATACAAGAAGCAAAAAAATGGGCAGGTTAATTTGTTTAAATATATAGATGAATTCTTAGAAGAGATATCGAGGTCCATTCGGATTGGTGAAATAGTCATTTTATTATAGTTTTAAAAGCCTTACAACACGTTCATTTTTCTCTCCTTTTTGGGTAGGTGGGAAGAGATGGGTTTAACCACGTAATGATGTTGTGCTTAATCTTCCCTTTGTTGGGTTGGGAAGAGTTTATATAGAAACGAGCTTGCAACTTGATTTAATCATCACTTGTCTACGATTTCTAACTATTCAAGGGACTCTCAATTTCAACCCGTGCACTATTTCATGGTGATGTAGGCATTTGGCATTCTATTATGGGGTGCTGGACATGGGAATTGATTGAATCCATATTGTTTTCTCCGTGTTTAGGAGTTCTATCAGTTGTTGTTGAATTTCTATTAACACGTGTTTCTATATATCTAAATACATTAAAATGTTATAAGTTACCTATCTTTGGCAGAAAAAAAAACAAAAAAGCTAGTTACCTCATTTTTCCGTTTGTTCCTTGGATCACCCACTTGTAAAATAATATCTCCAGCACAATTGATATATGATATGCCCAACTGCTTCTTAATCCTCTATGATCGCATTGTATAACCTGCCCAATTTAAAAATGCTGCTTTTCCGGTATATTTCCAATATATTGTTGACCTTCATTTTGTTAGAGCATCCAATCCAAAACCAATTAGCAATGAGTGGAGTTCCCCTCAAGTATATAAATCAACCTTGGTAGTTCTAATTATTTGATGTGGGATACAAGTTCTCTTATACATTTTAGTCACTATATTTCACAAGTGGGAGTCATCTTGTGCTAAGAATTTGTATTCACCATTTTCTACTTGGTGCATATTCCAGAAAATGATGATATTTTGAAGTTTAATCCTTTAGTGCTAACTAGGAAATTAGGTGTTGCCTGAGTATGAGAACATCTGAGGATTTATATTTTGCACTTCAATTTGCCTGCAGCGTAGCGATGGAAAATTTCTTGTGTAATAATTCTTTTCTCCTAAAAATGCTTTAATGTCTTTTGGTATCTTAAGGTAAATGGAGACTTCCTTGACAGAACATTGGCTTCCAAATGGGGGAATGCATACACTTCCATATTCTTCTATGCGTCCTGGTGTCCATTCTCACATGATGTCCGTTCGACCTTTGAAATCTTGGGTTCCATGTTTCCTCAAATTGAACATTTGGCAGTTGAACAATCTTTAGCCATGCCAAGGTGGGAGACTGGCCACTTATTATTATTCTTTTTTTGTTTCATGTCTTCTTTGTTAAACAGGGTAATATGAAAGCTGGGAACACGTTGTGATTCTAGTGTCACCTTTAAGAAAAAAGAGAAGTATATGTTCGCCGCATGGAAGGATCATTGTTAAATTATTTATCATTGAGACGTGAACTCAACCTGGAATAACCTGACTGGATACCCATTCAAATTTATTCTTATCTGGACTTGTTGCCAAATCTATATTTTGGCATGCTTATCTTGTCATTTGATCTACTTTACTTTTTGGTTTGTCTTGCAGCACGCTTTCCAAATATGGCATACATAGCATTCCCCAAATAGTACTAGTGAAGCAAACATCAAGACTGCGATTTCGTGGTTCAAAAGACCTCCACTCCCTTGTAAATTTTTATGAGAAAATCACAGGTAAATTTACGAGAAAATCACAGGTAATTGCTTTTTAAACTAAATGGATGTAAACATGTAAGTGCACTGTGAAAATGTTGCTATTTCTGCTTCTACTTATATTTTTAAGTGTTTAGCTCATGAATCCGCTCCTGTCCTGGGTACCTTGCTGCAAGTCATTGATCAAAGACAGCATTGGTGCCCCAAAAAATATTGGTTTGGTGCTTGTGTTCAATCTATGACCTGCAGACAAATTCCTAACTCCCTATACCCACACTGAGATTGAAACAGTGATATATAATGTACAATATTGGCTTTCCTCACATGATTTTCCGTATTTCAGGATATGAACCAGTTCAATATGTTGTTGTGGATCAAACTATGAGTGTGGGAAGCAGAGGAAAATTTCTTGTGCCCTCTTGGATTGGGATATCTATGAATGAGAAATTAGCAAGAGAACCTTACCTAGTAGTCTCCATATTGTTCCTCTGTTTGAGGGTACTTGTATTTGTGTTCCCAAAAGTTGTATCCAGGTTTAAACATTATTGGGTATCCTATGGACCTCATCTAAATTTGGAAATATTTGGAGAGACGAGCCAAATGCTGGGCCGCATCTTCCAGACAATCGATGTGAAGAGGGTTTGGACCAAGCTAAGAGCATGCAAGACCAGGAACTTCCATCAAGGTGCAAAGAGTGCTCGAGTGTGGGCTTCTTCACTGGCTTCTGTCTCGTTGGGTGAAACCTCGTCTTCCCGATTATGATCCTAAGGTGGAACTCAAAATCTTGCATGGAGTGAAATTGAGTGGATCGTGTTTCTGGTGTCACGAAATCAATGTCTACTATGATAAACCTGGACAAGTAATCTCTCTCTCACTTTCACTCTTACTCCATCAGTTTCTATTTGGTTTTTCTGATTGCTCACATATTCTCTGTAATTTTAGAATTTTTGTTACTACTTGAGACGATAGGGAAAGAAGTCATCCTTTTTGAGTTATGTTCTTATTGGGGAGGAAGCAAAGAGGCGTGTAAATTCAAGAACTGCTTCCAAAAAGAAATTTTTTTTTTTTTTCTGTATATCAGTACTTGGAGAAACATGTATTCACTTCTTGTTCCATATTTAGAGTCCACTTTTCCTTTTTGGAATGTCCCAAATAATATTATCAGTTTGAAAGTCAAGTGTAAAATGTCTGGTTTTGCCACAATTATGTGTAATTTTTTCCATAGAATTGTTTACATGTACTTTTTTTTTGTGGGTGGGGGGGAATCGATGAGTAAAGGTGTGCTTATGTTGCCCAGGTTCAAGCTCGTAAATCTGAATAAAATTATTGACGAATTTTGGGTGTATGAATTAGTCTTTCAATCAATACATCACTTAAATCAGGATTCACCAAAGATTTGGGTATAATTCATCTAAGTAACTGAGGTTCGTTCTATCAATTAATAACACTTTTTATCGCCTAGGGAATTTGATCTTAATCTCGATAAAGTAAAATTTTTACAAAACAAAGGGTGACTGTTAGTACCTAAGAATATGTTTAACTCAACTGGTATGTGTTTGGATACTGTACGAAAATGCCAAAATTGATTCTCCTGCACTCATGTGAAAGAGGCGTGTGGTTAATGTCAAACCAAACTCGTCGTATTGCAACATAAGATTAATCAAATGACACCATGATAGGTACTCACTGTTAAGGAACTACAATAGGATGCACAACAGGAATAGCAAAAACCACGGTAACTCCAATAATAACGAGGATGAGTTAAAAATTCATACACTTTAAATTCGAATCACTACAATTTTTTAGGGTCAAGCTATGAAGGATTTATCTCTCATGAATACCTTAGTTTCGGCATAAATATTCTAGTCTCGGACCAGACCGTAAAACATATTAGTTGAAATACGCATAAATTAACCCGAATACCTATGACCATCAATAAGGAAAAGCAACCTACATGTATACACATACTGATTNTCTGTATATCAGTACTTGGAGAAACATGTATTCACTTCTTGTTCCATATTTAGAGTCCACTTTTCCTTTTTGGAATGTCCCAAATAATATTATCAGTTTGAAAGTCAAGTGTAAAATGTCTGGTTTTGCCACAATTATGTGTAATTTTTTCCATAGAATTGTTTACATGTACTTTTTTTTTGTGGGTGGGGGGGAATCGATGAGTAAAGGTGTGCTTATGTTGCTCAGGTTCAAGCTCGTAAATCTGAATAAAATTATTGACGAATTTTGGGTGTATGAACTAGTCTTTCAATCAATACATCACTTAAATCAGGATTCACCAAAGATTTGGGTATAATTCATCTAAGTAATTGAGGTTCGTTCTATCAATTAATAACACTTTTTATCGCCTAGGGAATTTGATCTTAATCTCGATAAAGTAAAATTTTTACAAAACAAAGGGTGACTGTTAGTACCTAAGAATATGTTTAACTCAACTGGTATGTGTTTGGATACTGTACGAAAATGCCAAAATTGATTCTCCTGCACTCATGTGAAAGAGGCGTGTGGTTAATGTCAAACCAAACTCGTCGTATTGCAACATAAGATTAATCAAATGACACCATGATAGGTACTCACTGTTAAGGAACTACAATAGGATGCACAACAGGAATAGCAAAAACCACGGTAACTCCAATAATAACGAGGATGAGTTAAAAATTCATACACTTTAAATTCGAATCACTACAATTTTTTAGGGTCAAGCTATGAAGGATTTATCTCTCATGAATACCTTAGTTTCGGCATAAATATTCTAGTCTCGGACCAGACCGTAAAACATATTAGTTGAAATACGCATAAATTAACCCGAATACCTATGACCATCAATAAGGAAAAGCAACCTACATGTATACACATACTGATTGCTTGAACCAAAAAAAGATTTAAAAAAAAAAAAAAGAGTACAGTTTTCTAAGGTGTGACCACATCACTCGAGGGATATTTAGTTTCCTTTGGCATGCTACGTATAATACAGTGAAGATACCAACCCATGGACAGTTGTCTAGGCTTTCACTTTCAACTTTTCTTTTCCCCTTCAAAGATCCCTCAAGTCAGTGTCATTCCAAGCAAATCCTCACAAGCAACCTACAGTTTTTTCTTTTTCTTTTTCTTTTTCTTTTTCCATATTAAATGAGCAGCAGAATAATATCATTCAGTGATCGAATAAAGGACGAGACTGGAACACGTACTTTATTCAAGTCTTACTGCCCGCGTNAACTCCAATAATAACGAGGATGAGTTAAAAATTCATACACTTTAAATTCGAATCACCACAATTTTTTAGGGTCAAGCTATGAAAGATTTATCTCTCATGAATACCTTAGTTTCGACATAAATATTCTAGTCTCGGACCAGACCGTAAAACATATTAGTTGAAATACGCATAAATTAATCCGAATACCTATGGCCATCAATAAGGAAAAGCAACCTACATGTATACACATACTGATTGCTTGAACCAAAAAAAGATTTAAAAAAAAAAAAAAGAGTACAGTTTTCTAAGGTGTGACCACATCACTCGAGGGATATTTAGTTTCCTTTGGCATGCTACGTATAATACAGTGAAGATACCAACCCATGGACAGTTGTCTAGGCTTTCACTTTCAACTTTTCTTTTCCCCTTCAAAGATCCCTCAAGTCAGTGTCATTCCAAGCAAATCCTCACAAGCAACCTACAGTTTTTTCTTTTTCTTTTTCTTTTTCTTTTTCCATATTAAATGAGCAGCAGAATAATATCATTCAGTGATCGAATAAAGGACGAGACTGGAACACGTACTTTATTCAAGTCTTACTGCCCGCGTAACAATCTAGATTTAACTAATTGCAATGTTTGTCAATGATGAGCACAGTTCCTCTGCTGTACAATAGAGGCATTGTTCCTCGAAATTATGTCGTTTGAAAAACAGTACCGCTTGCTATACTACAAAGAAGCCGGACCAATCATTGATGGTGTACATTCGAAGTTTGTGTTGTGTGCAAGCCGTATTGGGGTCTTCTATTAGTGTTCAGAAAGAGATCAGCATGAAGAACCTCGACAGGCAATCTGATCTTCAATCTGACAATATACTAATGGTTAAATTTATCCAAAGTAACATTACAGTAATCAAAATTAGATTTAATAACCCGATAAAATAATCCTAAAAAAGATATCCAGGAATACAATCTCACAAGNAGTGTCATTCCAAGCAAATCCTCACAAGCAACCTACAGTTTTTTCTTTTTCTTTTTTCATATTAAATGAGCAGCAGAATAATATCATTCAGTGATCGAATAAAGGACGAGACTGGAACATGTACTTTATTCAAGTCTTACTACCCGCATNTTTCTTTTTCCATATTAAATGAGCAGCAGAATAATATCATTCAGTGATCGAATAAAGGACGAGACTGGAACACGTACTTTATTCAAGTCTTACTGCCCGCGTAACAATCTAGATTTAACTAATTGCAATGTTTGTCAATGATGAGCACAGTTCCTCTGCTGTACAATAGAGGCATTGTTCCTCGAAATTATGTCGTTTGAAAAACAGTACCCCTTGCTATACTACAAAGAAGCCGGACCAATCATTGATGGTGTACATTCGAAGTTTGTGTTGTGTGCAAGCCGTATTGGGGTCTTCTATTAGTGTTCAGAAAGAGATCAGCATGAAGAACCTCGACAGGCAATCTGATCTTCAATCTGACAATATACTAATGGTTAAATTTATCCAAAGTAACATTACAGTAATAAAAATTAGATTTAATAACCCGATAAAATATTCCTAAAAAAGATATCCAGGAATACAATCTCACAGGTTTCTCTTTGGTGGGACCCAATGGACCATATACCATTTGTCACCATTTAGAAGGATAACCTCACAACGTCTTATTCTCTTTGCTGGTTCAATCTTTCCCTCAAAGGGCAAGAAGACACGAAGGAGTGGCCTGATCCAAGTGAAATTCTACACTAAACTCCATGAAAGCCACCATCTTTGAACCCAATAAAATCTTCAAAACCCAACTCATTTCAATACTTCAACCCACTCTTGCTCTTCCCCACTCTCCATAATCCTTCAACGAAATGGATCTTGAAGAGTGGGAAGTCCTCCCTGATGATGGGTTTCTTGAAATCCATGATGATGATGGCAAGAAAATTTTCTCAAGAAAATATCGGAATGATCGAAAAAGTGTTTTCCAGATGAATTACTTCATATGCCCATCTCCAACATCTCAACATATGATTGATTCACCTCAGAAATCAAGAGTGCCAATTCAACTTGTTCCTGTTCCAATCCAATTGGAACCAACCATAGGAAAGACCCCGGATCATGAAGCAGTGAAAGAAATCATTAAGATTCCGATTGATTTTAGCATCGCGCCATCACCGATAACTGAGAAGATCAAAGCTCACAATATAGGAGATTTAGAAGCCGATCAAGACCCAGTTTCACAAGTTTTCTTCAGGAAAACGAAGGAAACTGAATTTGCCGACATGAAAATGGACTCACCCAAGTCCTGTAGTAGGGGGATTATTCCTCAAATTGATGCAGGTACCTTCAAGGATAAGAGTGATCAGGCCTGTAAAGCTGAGGCCTTCGAGAGTAAGAACAGTTCATTAAAAATCCAAGTTGAGGAAGAGATGGTGACCAAGAAGAACAGCCACCTGGATTCAGGTATCCAAGAAGAGGTCATTTGGGAAGAAAGTAATGGAGGTCTGAACTTGTGGAAGTGGAGCCTAACTGGAGTTGGGGCCATTTGCTCCTTTGGTGTTGCTGCTGCTACCCTTTGCATTGTCATTTTTCAGTCAAAAGAGAAACAAAAAGCATCAAGAGAATCAAAAGCTTCAATATCAAATATATACCAATGACAAGGTTAGCAAGTTTCTTAGAATTTTCTCATTATTAAGTATCAAACATCATTGTTTGAATTTTATTGCCGACCGAAAATCATCCCAACCGCACACCCTATGAGACCTCAGGATGCACATAATCACTTTCAAATCACACGAGTGTCTGATCAACCAGGGCTCAAAGTTGGGATCTCGAGCTATTAACTAGTTAACTCTTGGCATTCAAGGTACACTAACAGGTGCATCGTGGTCTGAATTTTATTCTTGCTCTTTGATCTAGACCATATGGTGCCAAGATGGCATATGGTACTTAACCGTTACTGAGCAGAATAGCCAACTTTTTGGTACTAGACCAATTTTCCAAATCAAGATAAGTGACTGCTCAACCATTCAAACCAGAAAGGGTCGTTTTCTCCTACAGGTTATGGCAACTATTAGAACTGAACTAATACCATTTGTGGTTTTGCAGAGGATCAAGCAAGTGGTTCATCATGCAACTAAGTTGAATGAAGCAATTTCAGCAGTGAGAGGAGTTCCCCTGGCCAGAGTTCAGATCCCAGTTGGTGATTACTATGATGGTCTTTAGAGCAATGCCCTAGCATTTGATCCAGACCTTTGATCAGCCATAAGAATCTTCATATATATGTGCTATTCAGTACCACCAGATCTGTATATGATCCTTGGTATCTACATCTTGTACATGGATATATACTGAATGCATGTATAGACTCTACATGCTGGTTGTATATAGCATCTATACATGGTTTCTATATAATTTGAACGCATATATAGATCCCTCTGGGTTCTATATATTTTGAATGCACATGTAGATTCGTTTGTGTTGTGATTAGTGTTTGTCTTTTACATAATTGATCTCAAGCCCAGATAAACGAGGAGGACCGTTAACTTGATTAATCTAACTTTATGATACTATATTTTCTATGATGTGAAGTTAAGTAGGTCCACTTATTAGGAGGTGCTTAGAGTTTTATATCTGTGGCATGTGTCCAAATGTTTGCATGCGAGAGAGCACTCTTATTTTCAAGTGGTTGTCTACTCATGAACCGCTTGTTAAATTAGCAGTTTCATTGACAAATAAGATCCAATGACACAATACCTATTTTTTCTGAAGGATCTGTACTGTTGCTGTACAAATTAGGCCAGCTTAGGCTTCTCGATTTCTTTTGGGAGTAATGCTAGGGACCCCAAATTGTATCCCAAATCAATATATACCCTTGGATCAATGAGTCCCGTTAACTTTTTTCAGTTAGACCCACTCATCCAAGGGTCCCTACTCATTTGGGATGCAAAGTATTATCCTTCTTTTGGTGCTGCTGGCTTTATTGTGCTAGAATATAAAACTTAATGATTTACCAAGCCCCTTCAAAGTCATATCGAGGGCTAACAATTTTGTATATGGTACATATAGACTTATTTACTAGAATACATATATTACAACACGCTACAAACTTAGTTGTCATACTTATGAGACAATTTGTTAAATAATTGTTTGTGGATTAGGTTGTTACGGAGCTGTAATCAACAACTGACAATTTCTTCTCTTTTGTATTGCCTGAAATGTAGTTTAATGCAAATAACACTTGTTTAAACAAAAACATTAGTGGTTTTAAACATAAATTAAGCCATTAATATTGTGAATAGTTGACATTTCTAACAGCAATGGACATTGTACAGACTTAGAGAAATCTCAATGGCATGGCTAATCAGATTTCTTTATGACCCTCCCAGATATTTTGATTGGCCATTAAATGCAAAGAAAAGGATTGATTGAATAGCTAAACCATCCAATATACATGATATTTGTATTGTGACCCACCTTTGAAGGGTGTGTACATTGCTTGATTTGACCATTTCACCACCAAACAGTGTTTAATTTTCAACAGTAATGTATTGGGGTCCACTAGAAATGAATGAATGATATGCAAGGCATTTGGAAATATGTGTTAGGTACCATGTGCTTGTAGAATCTTCAATTGTCATTTACAAAGAAATCCCAATTTGGTTTAAACTTTAAATTCAACTAATATTTGAACTGAGGTCCCTGTTTTTCGAGATTTTCACTTCAAATTCAGGCCAAGTTATGTGAGACTATAATCAAATCCATATTGAATTCAATTTCAACCAGAAAATTAAACTCGAGAATTAATTTGGATCTAACCGGAAACTACATTTTAAACATCCACAATTTAATTTGGATCTAATTGAACCCAACTGAGGATATCATAAAATGAGCCCAAAATGAATCTCAGCCCACCCTAGTTGTTCCCCTAGTGAGAATCTTCTATGTAAATGTTCAAGTATGGACCGTCAATTTCAGTGCGGCCAATCTGTACTACATATGCAGCTGGCTCTCAATCCATTTTTCTTATTTTTTTTTAATCTTTTAGATTTTAGTAGATTTCTAATTTTGGGGCTTTTTTTTTTTAAGAATTTTATAATCGAATGAAAATTATTCGAAATTTTCCTTTAAAGATAATGTATCTTCGTTCTGGCATGCCAAAATTCATTAAAAATTTAATAATTTGGGTAAGACCTACCTTCTAATGGCTCATCAATATATAAGGTACCTCCATATCAAGACTACTGTCTACTATGAAACATAGTACTGAAAAACTGGAAGGATTTTAAAAAAACAATATGAACCATGAGAAATCAAACTTGGTAATATAATTGTAAAACAAACTTGTGATATAAAGATTACAGTAATAAAACATAATCATTTTGGTCTCGTTTCANTGCAAAGTATTATCCTTCTTTTGGTGCTGCTGGCTTTATTGTGCTAGAATATAAAACTTAATGATTTACCAAGCCCCTTCAAAGNTGCAAAGTATTATCCTTCTTTTGGTGCTGCTGGCTTTATTGTGCTAGAATATAAAAAACTTAATGATTTACCAAGCCCCTTCAAAGTCCTCTCTAGGNTGGTGCTGCTGGCTTTATTGTGCTAGAATATAAAACTTAATGATTTACCAAGCCCCTTCAAAGTCATATCGAGGGCTAACAATTTTGTATATGGTACATATAGACTTATTTACTAGAATACATATATTACAACACGCTACAAACTTAGTTGTCATACTTATGAGACAATTTGTTAAATAATTGTTTGTGGATTAGGTTGTTACGGAGCTGTAATCAACAACTGACAATTTCTTCTCTTTTGTATTGCCTGAAATGTAGTTTNCAATCAATATCCACAGTGTTATCTAAATTTCAAATTTCATGTACGAGTGTTATATTCTGAAAAGAAATTGTGAAAACATCACAAACCTAGTTCGATTCATCAAAAGAAATTGTAGGAATATCACAAACCTAGCAGAGGCAGTAGCTTTGAGAGCAGCTGTGTTTCAAGCTCAAGAGCTGGTANAGCTGTAATCAACAACTGACAATTTCTTCTCTTTTGTATTGCCTGAAATGTAGTTTAATGCAAATAACACTTGTTTAAACAAAAACATTAGTGGTTTTAAACATAAATTAAGCCATTAATATTGTGAATAGTTGACATTTCTANTTAATGCAAATAACACTTGTTTAAACAAAAACATTAGTGGTTTTAAACATAAATTATTAAGCCATTAATATTGTGAATAGTTGACATTTCCAACAGCAATGGACATTGTACAGNGGCTGCTTGCGCGAGAGCAAAGACAGAGTTGGAGAACTGCTCGTGAGAGAGCTACACTTTTTGAGACCTAGCTTTTGGCGACCCATGAGGGAGTCTTTAAGCTTGAGGTATAAGCTGCCTGTTTGAGAATAGTGCAGAGGCCAAACTTTTTTGGCGATCCGTGAGAGAGCCGTTAAATTGGCGATAGGCTGCCTGTTTGAGAACAGTGTAGATGCTAAGTTTNTAACAGCAATGGACATTGTACAGACTTAGAGAAATCTCAATGGCATGGCTAATCAGATTTCTTTATGACCCTCCCAGATATTTTGATTGGCCATTAAATGCAAAGAAAAGGATTGATTGAATAGCTAAACCATCCAATATACATGATATTTGTATTGTGACCCACCTTTGAAGGGTGTGTACATTGCTTGATTTGACCATTTCACCACCAAACAGTGTTTAATTTTCAACAGTAATGTATTGGGGTCCACTAGAAATGAATGAATGATATGCAAGGCATTTGGAAATATGTGTTAGGTACCATGTGCTTGTAGAATCTTCAATTGTCATATACAAAGAAATCCCAATTTGGTTTAAAC